CTGATAATCTGGTGGAGAGGACTGACATTAAACAAAGTATATCACAAACAATTCGTTCCCACTGTGGTAAGTTGAGAGCATGTGTGGGTTGGAGGGGGCCCGCCTCTCCTGCAGGGGTCAGGGAAGGCTTCTCAAGGAAGTGGTGTTTTTACAGGAGCCAGTGAAGAAGGGCGAGTTCCAAGGCAGAGGAGACAGCATGGGCAGAAGCCTTGAGGAAGGAGCAGCTAGTCTCCGGAGAGACAGACCATACAGAAAATTAGTTTTCTTTCGTTGTCTTTTCACAAGCAGAAAACTCCCGAGGGACCCTGGCTTCCCTTAGGCCTGCTCGGATGTGTTAAGGGCCAAAGGCCACGATGAACTGCCAGGGTGGTCTGAGAATGAGGTGGGGGGTCAGGGCCCTTCACCCCTGTTCTGTGGGCAAGAGGGGACAGAACCCAGATTTTCAGGGTTCTTGGAGAATAATCACAGGCCCCAGGTGGCTGCCCAGCAGAGGGAGTAGCAGGAACAGACTTCGAGGGGGGAAGCTGGCATTTCTGAGAAGTAGTGGTGAGTCTCAGGGTTGCAAGTTTGCCTAAGAGCAGTAGGGGCTATGAAGAGTTTTAGGTGGGAGACACGTGGATCTAGTTATTGTGTTTTACTACATTCTTTTCAGCTGCTGCTGTGTGAAGGAAGAGGAGGGGAACAGAGTGGGGCTGGGACCCCAGCCAGCTGGTCACCAGAGCCAGCAAAAGCCCTTCCGCTCTGCAAATCAGCTTCCTGGCGGGGTCGTGAGGAAGGCGTGGGAGGTGGGTCAGGCAGCCAGCCGGTGCCTCACAAGTTTCCTCTTACTCCTGGCAGGTGGGCAGGGTGGCCCTGCACTGGGCTGCAGGTGCGGGGCACGAGCAGGCTGTGCGGCTGCTCTTGGAGCACGAGGCTGCTGTGGATGATGAGGATGCGGTACGGGACTCTAAGGAGGCATGGCTGTGTGTGCATGTCTGTCTGTCTGTCTGTCTGTCTCAGGGCAGGGGCGGGCACCAGGGCTCACTCTGGGGCTATAAGCCGGCTGTCGTTGCCGAGGTTGCCGCTGATACGCAGATGTCCAGGTACAGGGTGGGCAGGAAATCAAAGTGTTCAGAGGCCAGTGACACTGAACTGATCCCATTTTTCCCTTGCAGAGTCATACAGATCTCTCCATTTTTGAGGGCCTTTCAGTTCTCAGCCTTTTCAGTTTCTTATACCATGTGAACAGGAAGAGATACGGGATGTAGAACAGATAATTGGGTGGATTAATAAAGGCCTTATTAGTAAAGTCATTAGGAGGTAGGTCTCCCATGATGTGCCACAGGGCTCTGTCCTAGCTAACCTTTTAACCAACAACTTGCATAAAGACTAACAGTCTTATGTAACAAATTGGCAGGCAGCACATTGGTAAGAGAGCAGTGAAGAATAACAGGATCTATAAAATTAGCTGTACAGGTTTGGGGAAAGGGCTGAATCTGACAATGACATTTGACAGGGATACATTTAAGAGTCTAAATTTAAATTTTAAAAATTATAACCTTCCTGGCAGAAACAGCTTCCATGGAAATACTTTTCTTTGTCCTGGCTTCTCTCTGCTCCCAGGCCCCACCACTAGCGGGGCTTGAGTGGGGCTTGGGGCTTGATTACGGGCTGGGGCTGGGGGTGGGGCAGCACCTCCCCACTCCTTCCTGCACCTGCTTAGGCCTCGTTAAGTGACTCTGGAAGGCGAATGTCTGGGATCCTTAGTCTGCTTTTCCCAATAACACACTGAAAATTCTTTCGTTAGCCCTTTGCCTACAAAGACCCCCAATATTGCCCCTGTGCTCTGTGATTTCTTCCCTGAGGGATAGAGTGAAAAAAGAAGATATGAAGGAGACTAGTAAGAGAGTGTTTTTACAAATCTCAATTTCCTTTGCAAATAGCATTTAATATATTCTGAAAAATAAGAAGGCTGGTGGGCATGTCTACTTTAGTAACAAGAGGGTGAAGGAGACACTGGAGAAGGGAAATCTTATGGTTGGGGGAAGGTTTCTAGTGATATGCCACCAGGCTCTGTCCTGAGCAATTCCTGGAACTACAACTGTGAGGTATCCATGGGGTTCCCACTGGAGGCTGTGGCCTCCATGACTCTCCTCCCCCAATCTTGAGCCTTGGACCTTTCAATTCCCAAGCTCCTGTGGGCTTCTCCCCTTTACTCTGCCCTGTGCTTACTCATTCCCTCCCGCATCCAGCCAGCCCACAATTACTACCTGGGGCTGAGCTCTGAGCCAGTGCTGGGTCTGTTGGCCTCTTTGGCTTTAGCTGACACCCATCTGAGGTGCTATGGCAGGTCCAGCACCTTCCCCAAGATTTCAGGAGGAAGGGGTCAAATTCTGGTCACTGCTGGCTCTTACTTTAAACTTCTGCTCAATTTTTGCCACCTTCTTAAATTTTAAGAGGAATAACCTATTGTCTCTACTCTGGCATCACCCCAACAATGAATCTCAGTCCTTTTCTCTGATTTCCATAGAAACCCTATACACATGGCTTTTTGTGGGAAACAGGCTATCCAAAATAATAGATAGAGGGGATTTACATCACACATGAAAACAATGTAAAAATCCTAAAATTCTATCTTTGACATTCCTGTTCTTTAAAGTCCTGTGGCACTTTCCTTGTCTTGGGCACAGCCTCTGTCCTCAAGCCTCTCTTCAATACTGATCTTGTTTTCCCAGCCCCAGCCTTCACCTCCAAATTTCTACCTGTTCACCCCAACTACTTGTCAAAACTTTTACCCAAGCACAGTCCCTAAGAGGAATTCTGCTGCCAGCTGCTAAGACCCTCCTGCCACCCCTCACAAAGCCTCCTTGTGGAGCCAGTGGGGAGGCAGCTGTGACCAGGATACTGGGATGGGCTTCCCTGCCAGAGCTCCAAACTGAAATTGAGGCTGATATAGGGCTAAGAGATGGCCAGCCCCATCCTCTGGCCCCTGCCCTAGGCCCTGGGGAGCTCGGAGCGTCCAGGGTAGGGCAGATTAGGAGGACACTGCCCCTTAGCTCTTCTTGAGAAGGGCCCTGCAGTTTTGCTCCCAGCTAGACTGGGGAGCTCTTGCCCACTATAGGCCTACTCCTTATGCTTGTGGGCAGATGCCTTGGCCCATCAAAACAAGACCACACTGTGGGCTCATTTTATGTATGACAGACCTCTGGCCTCACTGGAGGACCTAGAGCCACACATGACCCTGTTTCTATGGAAAAATATATTCTGGTCTTATCTGACTTACAGACACACTTTGGGGGTGCCCAGAACTGAAGGATGACAGCATAGTCTCTAAGCCAAAGATGGTGATGGTCTTCCAGGCCATGCTGCTCAGACCTGGCCTGATACTACCACCAGCCAAGGAGAGAGCAAAAAACCATTGCTGGGCGTGGGGTAGGTTGGCTAGCTGTTGGTGTATCCTGGGGGGTGAGTTTGGAGGCCTGGGGGTGCTCTTCACAGAGAAAGGAAGACTCAGGGAAGATGGGGAACTCTCTCAGATGCAGAACTCCATGAGAATTGAGATCAGTGAAGGGGCTCTAGTGATCCTGGAGCACTTTACGGATATTGAAGAAGAGCATCCTACAAACAGGCCACCATCAGAAGAAGGCCCTTTTAGATGCTCCCAAGGGCCAGGAGGGTGGAAAGTACAGGGATGCAGATCTTGGGTACAGCATAGGGAGGGACCTTCCCATGGTGAACAGTGTTTGACAGTGCAGTGGATGTCTCATGCAGTGGTCAGGTGCCATCCCTACACATTACAGACTTAAGCCACCAGCCTGGAGGATGTTCTGTTGGAGATTCAAACTGCTGATTCTCAAACACTAGTCTAGGAGGAGGTCTTCTTCACCAGTTACAGCAAATCAGAAAATAAGAAAAATGTAGTGTGTTTCTTGTGAAGTCCTATTTGGAAAGAGTATATTCTGAGATTGGCTCCTTCCAATTTTTTTGTGTTAAAATGGTCCATCTTTATGAAATGATGGTGTGAGCAGATGGCAGCTGTTTTATTTTTAAGTTTTATTTAGCACCTTCCCTCCTAAAGTTTTTAATAATATATTAGCCTCTATTTAAAAAAAAATTCCTCGGCTTTAAATTCTAAAAGCTTGGAGCTTCCGGGCCTGGGTGGCTTTTATGATCCCTTATGATTGTATGATTTTGCAATATAGACATGGGCCCAGGTGGCACAGCGAGGCCTCCTCACGTCCTCCCCTATGTCCTCTCCCCTAGTTTGGAATGAACGCGCTTCTCCTGTCTGCCTGGTTCGGCCACTTACGGATTCTTCAGATCCTGGTTAACTCTGGGGCCAAGATCCACTGTGAGAACAAGGTAAGGCCTTGCGGGCAGCCCCCTTGCCTCCACTGCCCCTGCCCTCAACTGTACAGGTCTGGTCCCACCTCTGCCTCTTGCCCCCATCACTGCTTCCTGCTGTCCCCAATATGCCTCTGCTTGCTCCAGCTTGCCCTCTGAGAACCCTCCCGAAACCCTAGCTGAGCTCAACTGTTTGAAACTGGGCCCCTCGCTGCTCCCACTGGGGCTAGGAGGAGGGCCTGGAGTGCCTCTTCCATCAACATTGAACACCTTTCTTCTGATCCCCCAACCCTTTACCACTCTGGATGTTAGGACAGTCCCCAGTCCTCTGACCAGCCTCCTTATTTACATAAGAAGAATAGAAGTAACACCCTCATAGGTGGTTAGGAAGGTTACATGAGCGATGTGGGGGCCTCCTTCCCCCAACCAATGGGCCCTGCCTTTTCGTGCTGTGGGTGATGGGATAGGAGGAAAGCACCAAACTCTGGGACCTTAGGTAAGTCACTTTATCAGCCGGAGCCTCAGTTTTCCCCTGTGGAAATGAGGATGCTAGTAGGAGAAGCAAGTGCAGTGCTGAGTGTGAGGTACCTGGCACATTAGGGAGCCTGGCAGTCAGTCCCTCGCTGCTCACTGGTCTGCACTGCGGTTTGAGCTAGGAGGGCCCAGCCAGTCAGAGTGCCTGGAATCCCTGCACAGTGGTCCTTAATAAAATGCAGACATTTCCAGGCCAAATGCTGTCAGCCAGGGTTTCTCAACCTGGGTCCTTAGAATTCAGGGATCCAGGGACTTGGCCGGGGGGGAAAAAAAAAAAGACATTTTTTTTTTCATTAACTTCTGCTTGAAAACTAAGCATTTCTTTCAATGATGAATGAATGCTGGGATGGAAGTTGGATGGTCTCTTGAGGCCAAGGCTGGAAAGTCACATGGTACTATGTTCACTACATCCTGTTGCTCAAAGCCCATCACAGGGCCAGCTTTAGATTCAGCGGGTGGAAAATATTGGATTCCCCCTCTCGATGAGAAGAGTAGCACAATCCCGTCACTTAGGGTGTTTCCAAGAGTGGAAGGAATAGTTTCTGCCATCTTTGCAGACAATCCACCTGGTCTTCCTTTTGACCTTTTGTTCAAGGTCCTCCCCAAAGGTATTCATCTCACCTTTAGACAAGCCTTGAGCCAGCCCGTTACCCTGTCTGCTTCAGCTCAAAGC